AAGTAATGTCTTAATATACTAATACAATTCCATGATTGTGATTTATGACGTCTTAAGACTGCTTAAAACGGCATTAAATATAAGAACCGACTGTGAATACCAAACCTATGTTATTTTTACTAAAATTTAAATGGCATACATACTGAAAACAATATATGTTATTGAACTACTTAATTAATAATACATTGAACTACTTAATTAATTGAATTACTTAATTTAATTAATTGAACTACTCAAATGGCAGAATGAATGAAATAACAATAAAGAAAATTTCTCACTCAGTAGGTATTACAGTTTAAAAATTTCGTATAATGCACATATTTTAAATAAAATTTAAATTATCGCTTTAATTGTCGTTTTATACATTTTCTTGTATTATCAATTTAGAACATATAACTTTGATTTATCAATTGTTTTGCAATACTATACTTCATATAAGATGTATGATATTTTAAATACTTAGCAGTATCTAAGCACAAAAATATATACAGAGTAATGTCATAGCACATAGGTTGAAAAAAAATTTAATATCATCTCTTTTAAGTAAATAAAATCAACTGCAAACGTTTTGCATTGTATATATTATGTAAAATCTTGAGTTCAATAATATCTTTTATCTTTCAACAGATATAAAAAATACTATTTTTGTACTATTCCATGTTTTAAATTACAGCTATCAAAATTACAATTATCAAAAACTTAGATGGCCAACATTTCTTATATATGTATACATTTATAAGAAATAATACAAACTTCAAAAAATATCTTTTTCTGTCATATAAATTACACAACAATAATTACCAAGTAGTATTCATTATATAAATGCTGTTGCATATATACTTAATGTTGTCAATAATTAAAATATTTACAATAAAGTAGTATACAAGCTCATTTATAGATAAACGAGAAGCGTATATAAGCATTTACGCACGCAGAATTGTCTGGATTGTCTATAACAACGTTCAATATTTAACATTTAAGCTTGTTATCTTATAATTTTCTATCATCAGTATATGACATTACAATGCAGACGATATGTTGATCATGCTTTAAAAAAATAGGACAGTGAGAATATATAGAAAAGCTATATTTATAATAGAGGTATTTATGACCAAGAAAGATAGATCTAAGATTTGATATGAGTTATTAATTTTGAAAATATCTCCCCGTCCAAAGCAATATTTATAATATACAAACATAATATTATGAAATATTAAAAATTATCCGGTTTTATATATTATATAAGACAGCACGTGTGAAATAACTTGTAAACGTAGTGCTGAATTGTGACTATACATCATAGTGATTATACAAGCAATAAGACTTCTCATATATATGGAATATCAACGTAAATGCATAAGCTAAATATCGTTCAATCACATCGTGCAATATCAAATATTACAACATAGAATTATCAACAAAGAAGGAAGCTCATCTGTCTCTAAATAGATATAGCATGTATATATTATGATTATGCAAGAAGACAGGCAATATTAAAGCTAGGAAATTCGAATTGCTTCATATAAAGAGGCAATTATTATCTTCAAATGCCTTCATGCATGTATTTTGTATGGATTCGTTTATATATCTGTATAAATCTATTATTATTAGGTGTCAAATATTTAAAAAGATAGACAATTGTCAAGATCGATTGTACGTCAAAAAGATTTGCTTCAATATTATATATTTCACGTATATATTTCTATAAAAAAGAAATAATAAACCTATGTTGCAAAAAGAATTAAACCGGGAAAATCGAGATAAAATTTGATTGTAATTTCACCTAGTTTAAATAGATTTTATACATGATTGACTCCTGCAATATCATGATCGTTTAATCAAAACATGACTGGCAAGAAAGGAGTATAGATCGTTTTAACATATTAAATTAATTATGCATATATGCAAATACAACTTTCATTTGTACTTTCTATTTGTGGGTATAATTTTGTTAAATATATGGCTCTTTAAGTATGCATTAAGTGTAAACAGCTAGTAAAAAGATAAAACGATCTAAAAATATTTCTTTTACAGCAAAAAAATGACTGTAAAAGAAAATAATATGTGTACAACCTTTGTGTGCTATTAATAAATTAAGACATGTTACAATTCAAGGGGTACATCCCCGTAACTAACCTCCTGTAACAGGTCCTGGGCAGCAATGGCTTTCAATACATTTTTTTTGCTAGTTTCTTGAATTTCTCCACCAACAAGCAATTCGTCTAAGATAAAGTATGCCTTTTCGAAATTGAAAATTATATCCAACTCGCATACCTAATAATAGATTATAAATAATAAATTATAATATGTAATATTACAACAAATTACAAGGCTTAACAGAAATGTACTTTAAATGTATTTCAATAACATAATACTCACACTACCAAAATACTTATCCAATAATTCAACATATCGATGTATAATCTCCAATGTTAGTAATTCATTGTCATTCTGCTCAATTGCGCAGCAAAAGTATAAACTTGCGTATCTGTAAGCATAAATCAGAAACTTTTTTACAATAAAAAAAAAACTTCCTACAAATTATAAAATGATATCATAGATTAAGGATAATTTTGATGAAATTTTGATGAATGTATTTACTTTATTAATGTAGTGTCATACTAGCAAGACTACTGTTACAAAGCCAGCCTATAGATAACAGTATTAATCAATCTCATGGAGTATTACAAATATTACGTTAGTGGAATCAGGCTTTACATTCATTTCTATTAATGCAGATTAACTTTAATCTCGGTTTAATTTATTTTTTTATCTTCTAGTTTCAAGAATTATGCTGATTCTACAATGAGCCTAAGTCTTATCGATGAATCGTTAAAATTAGCCATTGACCAACTTCACTGATTCACGGTGTCTCGAAGAGACGGCAATAAGTCGCATGTTATACGCCAAAGCTTGTGAATTACTTACAACTTAAGGGCCATGGCACACAAAAAAACTTAAGCAATAAAACATAAGCAGTAGCGAATCCAACATGTTAATTTCCTTACTGTTTACATCTTATTGCCTTAAGTTTTTTGTGTGCCAGGGCCCTAATGGTTGTTCTACAATGTGCTCTTTGTTTTCTGTTTCTTGCTTTTTACCTTTGGCTTTTTTCCTCTTTGTGATCGTTTTATCGACAATTATATTTCTTGATGTGTTTTCTGTTTCTTCTGAAGTTCGTTAACGTTTATCTCGAGCAACAGAAAACGAAAAATAGGATAAGAAGCAAAAAGGCAAGATACAAAAAATAGCAAAAAGCAAGAAACAAACAGCACATTGTAGAATAGGCTTCAGTCTCTAAGCGTTACAATTCTTGTGCTCAGACATTAAGAGTGCATTCGGAGTTACGCATGAAACGCATAATGCATCATTTGTCTTTGGATGCATTCCGAATTATGCATGAAGCTCCTTAGAACTACCGATGCATTGCAGAATTAACTTTAGAAAAAAATGAAAAAGAAATTAACCTTAATTTAATCACATTGGTAGAAATGCTTAGTATACATAAATCGTTGATGAATCATATACCTTTTATAAACAACCTTAACGTCCTTCCATTCTAAGAAACTCGACATTTTCGGTTTTCGTGCGAGTATCGTGGTGATCAGTTCACGCGTGATTTTCTTTTTCAACTTATCTGGATGCGCGACATACCACTTCTGTAGACGAAGCTTCCCTTGGCGACTGAACAGTAACATAAATTGCATCTGCAAAAAAAAAGACGGTGATGGTCAAGGATTACTTTAAAGTCACGTTTCTTATTATTAATTTAAGACATAGCGTAAAGATTCACCATATTGTCGCGATCCTGTTATCTCGCGTCTCGCACAATTCTTTATCTCTCACAAATAGCAGATAGCACTACGCGTTAATAGACAACGACCGACAACACCCGCATAAATTGGTCGCGTTCAGCAAACTCAACTGTTGCGGAGCGAATCCGTGAGCGCTCGCTGCTATTGGTGTATTCTTCTAGATCATCCAATAGCAACGAGCGCTCACGGATCTGCTCCGCTAGAGCCCTATAATAAAGGCGCGTTCACATCTTGACGGAAAAGCAGCAGCCAATCAGAACTCGCGCTGGTATTCGACAATTTCGGCTTTTTGTATTACTTACTACCAGCGCGAGTTGTGATTGGCCACTGCTTTTCCGCTTTCTGCTTTTCCGTCAAGGTGTGAACACGCCCTAAGAGTCACGACAGAAGACCGGAAGAACGTCATTGCTGGGTACCGGCCGGAAACAGCACAAATAACGCGCGCGCCATTCAAAGGCCCCGCGCACAATGGAGGAAATATTAGGAA